TCTCTTGTATGCAGATGATATCATATACAAGAGTACATAAACATCTTGTAATGACAGACAAATATCAAAATGGAGCATAATGGTACAGATCCGATATCACGAGGACAAAAACAACCACAAAAGTTACGATTTGTCACAAATTAACATTCTATTAAAGAGTTTTACTTCTTAGGCCAATGCCACTCCCCAAAGACATTACTCAGCTAGAGCCGAAGACCGGCAGAGTAGTGCGTAACCACACTCACTTTTCCTGAAACTTTTCCAATCAACACTTGTAAGAATTGCTTGCGACCCCACACTCATATTACAGGGGAAAACTTCCCATCATCGCATACATCCCGACACACTGACCCGAATACTCAGACTTGAACTTGCTTAAATCTCAAGGAGCACTCGATTACTCAGATGATCCAAGCTGAGTACACACAACTCCCGATGCGGTAACTTCGACAAATAGGAGCGCACTGTGCTCAATGTCTGGATCACACACCAGCACTCAAACACACAGTGGATGCAAGTTTACAGTCAAGACAAGCCAATTGACAAAAATGCCCGCCAAGGAAAGAGCCTTGGGCCTCTTTATTCACAATGACAACTCTGGAATATTAACCGCCTGAGGCAAATCGGTCTCAAGGGCTGTGCCGTCTGATGTAGCGATTGCAGTGTCATCTGAACTTACATCTACTCCTATCCAACGCAATAAGTTTACAACCTCTACTTCTACATTCTGGCGCGCCTCATTCAATCCCTCTGAAAATGTATTAACTACATCTACCACCTGTTTGTGTCCTGCGGATCCGCTGGTCTTGACGCTCATCAATCGTCACTCAAGCGAATCTAGCTTCAACCACTTCACCGTTTGCAATCCCCACATCGCAAATCCGTTCAGACACTTCTCGAAACGCAACTTCAACTCGTCGGTTGACTCGTCCCGTAGCTAACGGTAAGCCTCCTCTGCCTTCTCCATTCTCCTTTGCGACTCCTGCGATCTCATGTCCGCCTTGCCTAACTGCTCCCACAACCGTTGACATTCTGATTCAACCTACAATTTACATTCGACCTCCGAAGACCTGGCCGATTCACAATCCGCCAATTTCTTGGCCCAATTCGCTAATTCCTCTTCATGCTTCCGGACTCCCTCCGCCAGACTTGCTGATAGCTCATCCGCACGTCGGAATTCCGCCTCGCACTTACCCTCAATCTCCGAAATCTTCCTACGAAGATCTTCTTCCGCCGTCTTCGCCTCTGTGATTTTGCCCCGAAGTTCTTTGGCGATACGAACTTCTTTGGCTCTTCAGGACTCCAACTTAGCAACTTCTTCAACACCGGATTACTTTGCAAGGTTCAATTGCAGTACTTAGCACTCAATCTCCTTCTCCCGAAGCTGGGCTTCTCGCTCCTGCAATGCCACCTTTGCTGTCGCGCACTTGGTTGACAAGTTTGCAGCTTGCTCCAGTGCCAATTCAGTCGCGGAATCCCACTGCCTCTTCACTGCTACTGCTCTCTTGAGCTTCGTCTTGTTCCTGATTAGCTCAACATAAAATCCTCGCTCTTTCTTCAGAGTATACTTTTCCCTCTTCGTGTCTAGGTCTTTCAGTAATGGAACTACACTGTTCTGTAAGAAGTCGGGAAATGTGATTTCTACTCGCTTCAATTTCTCCTCTGAAGTCTTCTTCTCTTCTTCGGGTTTCACATCTTCCGTAGGAGATGACGGCAATGTAATGTTTTGCGGCATCTACCACCGTACCTCCAACCTACGCAACAACATGCTCTAGTATTTTGTCACTAAGTGTAAGCTCTCTCACCAGTTCCTCGCTTGTCTTCAGTTGAGGTATTTCTTCACTCCCCACATACCGTGTCCGCTCCGAAGACAGAGAATTCGGACTTACCATCTCCGTTCACTCCTTCAAAGGTTCTGCCGGTGCATCCGCTGGAACCTCGATTAACACCCCCGAAGGTCCTTCCATCTCCACAGGCTGTGTCGAATCGCCAACAGCGACTTCGGGTGTACTCACAATCGGGGCAACTGTCTTTTCCACGCTGCTATCCGATACTTCAATTGCCACCAACCCTCGATTCGCCCTCTTCTTTGATCTCGCGCGAGTTCTTGACTGCCTGCTTACGTCTACTTTCGTTTCAGTTCTTCTGACTTCAAGTGTCAAATCTCCCTCGTCGTCATTCACTACTTTCCTTCTCTTCGCCAATCGTTTTTCTCGCTTCTCTCGTCTTGGCATAACGTCCACCTGAACTGGTCCTCGGACTGTCGTCTGTGGTGAGATTGAGGGTTGACGGGTATCCTCTTCGGTCCCTTCACTGGACTTGGCTGTCAAGATTTTGCGCTCCCTCAGAAATTGTTTCTCCTCCTTCCTCGTAAGCAAACCCATGCCCCGATAGAAATTCACAAGGAAAGTATTGATATGATTGATCAATGGTCCCGTCCAACGGGAGCCCGCATTCACCCAGACAAGATCGTGAAAGATTCTTGCCTAGTGTACTCTCTGTCCCTTCAGGATTCGCTCGAATAACCCTACTTGCCAGGGCGTCACATACGTAGTGTGCGCCGGTAGCAAGATATGCATTATTCCCAAAGCAATCGCCCTTCTCTTCGGATCCAGCTAATCAACTGTCTTCCACCCGTTCGTACCCTGCCTCCCGGAATTGAAGAGTGGCCCGTACGAGAATTCTTAAGTGCGTGTAAGTCCCATGCTACTCTTCTCAAACAAAAAATATCTGTCACTACCTGCGCACGGTCCCATCACCTTCGCCCAATGTTCAATTGTCCACAGCATGGGATTACCTCAAAGCTCCTCGCCTTCGGTCTTGTTCTTATCCATTATCTCCTTGCAAATACTCGCCGACACACAATTCCAATTTCACAAGAGAAAATCAAGCCGCAGTTCGCTTAGCTTGCGCCTGAAGTATCGCAATTCCTCGTATGGCACCTTCAAAGGAACCAATTTCCGCACCTTATCACTCTTCTTGGGCGCCATGTCTCCAATTCGCGTCTTCGCTGCTAGCAAGGTCGGTCGATTTTGGTCTCTCTCACTCTCGCTCGTTCTTGCTCGATATCGCAATGTCGGCGCAAAGACTCCTCGTAATGACCTTACCCTTGAAGCCCTAACATTGCCTCCTCCCGCGCCCAGTAGAATTCTCGACGTGTGGGAACGTCGTCCGGCCCGTTGCGCGACTTCAAATTGATTCCTATGTCTTCGCCGAAAACGCAGCTCTTGCACTGTCCCGAAAAGGCTGCGCCGAAGATCCGAAGACCCGAAGATCTTCGACCGTAGGCGATTACTAACTAATCCTATCATAACTACTCAAAAGCTATTCATTCTAACTCATACGACTACTTTCTACATAAATATCTTTTAGTTTTGTTGATTTTTAAAGAAAAACGAAAAAACTAGGCCCCACACACTTATACACTTTGGCTAGCTTTTGTATCACATGGAGGTAAATATAGAGAAGTCTAAAGTCATGATAGTGGGCACTAGAGACAAGTTCTACTTCTATTACAAGGTTCTACAATTAAAAGAGTTGAAGAGTTATAAATATCTAAGCATTGATTTTTCTAATGATTATAGTTGGGCACTTTGCGTGCAAAAGAGAGTAGAAAGTGGTTACAAAGCTCTATATTCATTGCTAAATTGGTGTAGAATGGCTCATCTTGTGTCTTGAAATATTAGAAAATTTTTATTCAGAAGTTTAGTGTTGCCGGTAGTATTGTATGGAACCCAAGTGTGGGAATCTGGTTGTAAGAAGACAGGTTGGGAGCGTGTGGAGAGGGTGCAGAAGATATTTTTACAAGAAGAATTGGGTGTGAGAAACCAAACTTCATATGTTTTTCTTCTTGCGGAAACAGGTTGTTTACCTCTAGAGGCTAAAGCTCTATACTTGACTATGACTTACATCAGAAGGGTAAGATCTCTTGATACTTCTCACCTATCTCCTCAAGCTTTGACTGCCAAACGTGCCAAAGGATGGTTAGTGGATGTGATAACTTGGTCTTTGAGGTGGAATGTGACGGAACTCGACCGAAACTTGCAACCTATAGCACTACGTGAACGTTTGAAGGAGGAGTTTCTGCACATTATTTGGAGCAAGCGCGGCACCAAGATGCAGTTTTATCAACTTCATGTGAATCCTATGCTTGTTTATTGTGAACATGATTACATACTTGCAGGAATCTCTACGTCTTCACATCATATTATTGCTAGGCATAGAACTGGATTTCATAGGCTTGGAATTGAGGAATGACGTTGGCTTAATATTTATAGGAATGAACGCATAGGCTTGGAATTGAGTAAGTACGTTGGCTTAATATTGATATGAATGAACGTATTTGTAGGCTACGTGATGAAAGAGAAGTTGAGTATGAAAAGCATATATTTCTTACTTGTACTAGATACGTAGACTTTAGATTGGCTCATAATATAGATGTAGAGAATTTATATTCTTTGTTATATTATGGACATTATTAGTTACCGTACTAGTGCTCTTGGCACTAGCTAGGGATTGAACTTTAGGGTATTTTCCCTTGTTTGTGTTTGTTGCTTGTATTGTGTTTTTCAACCTTTTGACCCTTTGGGTCCCCAGTCTTGCTCTATTACCATTTATAACTTACTTCTCTTGGAATTTTGGTTTGAACTAGAAGATGAACCCACCTATACATGTAGCTGATAAACCTCATCTTTAGATATTGTGAATGCGGATGGTAACATAAAGCTGTCAGATTGTCGAACCTTCAAGAATGAGTTCACGACGAAAAATTGATTTTTTTTCCCATCAGAGAAGAATACGCTCCGTTCACGAGGTAAGTGACATGCAGCAGGTCTCTTGGTACTGGAAGAGTGCTTGGGAATAAAGGTAATTGATGAGGACCTCTTGCAAAGAAAGTAACTCTTGTCCCTCCTTCCACCGTGAGTATGACAAAGGACGCTTCTTAAGTGCGATGCTCGTCTACGAGACTGAACTTGTATAGCAAACAACACTTTAAAGGGTGCTCTCTTCATAGAAGCAGAATAGACGTCCATACTGTAGGCTGAAAAGATGATAACTTACGGACAAACTTCATGAAATGTCGGTCATACACAACCTGACAAAACTCCTGGATACGGCTCCCACATGTGACCAAGAATGCTTCTCAAAACGCAGAATGAATCGTTGGTCACGAAGAAGACTAAGACCCATGTACGATGCCTAAAACTCAAAATGCAGAATCTGCAATGCCGTCCAAATTCAAATTTCTTCATATGGCAAAACTGGAATCTCCACATACACACAAAAACCCTGCCTGTCTGTTGACTTGTTCTGTTCCTCGGCCACCATGGTGTATCCTGTCAGTCTGATGTGATGATGAAGCCGCTCCGCTCTCTATGATAACCTCCAGGTTCAAGGAGGCCATCGGGAGTCCATATTCCAATCCTGCGGTCACTCGTTGCATGAACGACATTGCTCACCTGTTTGAACTGGTCTGGACCGAACTGGAGCTGATTAATTGTCAAACGTAAGGAAACTTGCGTCATGGAAGACTTCAATTCAAACGTTCGACGCAGCCAGCTTCCAGCTGAAACATTGTGGAGTTCATCTTCTTCGAACAGATGCAGCTAAAGTGGACCTCGCTAGAATTTTCCATTCGGGCATCCTGCGGTGAAGGTCCTACACTGTATTGGGTCTTTGTGGGCAAAGAAGATTGTAGAATTTATTTTGGAGAAAAAAGGGTTGGCCCGTTTGAGAAACTGCCTTTTTCCATCCAACCCATCCTCCACTTTTTATAGCTTTAAGATCCTCGCCTTTCGTGTAATGAGGGTCCAAAATCAGAAAGGAGCTGTCGCCGGTCAGCTCATTGTAATCCACGCCAAGCAAAGTGTAAGCCAAAACACCACCCCCTGATCGCAAACAGAAGTGGTTAAAATCTTACCTGCAGACTAAGATGACTTTTGTCAACAACAAAAGTGAGGAAGGAGTACCATGTGGGAGATAAGATACCTATTCACTACGTTGGCTAACACTTTACTACAGATTCGGCAAAATTATGACTAGTAATATTTGACCCCATGAATCCTGCGAGTTTGATTTATATACTCGCCCTTTTATGGAAGAAGTTTGTAGAACTTGTATGTCTCCACGACTTATACGTTAACCAAACTCTTTCCATCTATACGAAAAGTCCAGTTCAAATTTTCAAATTTTCAAACTTGTGCTTTCGTAGACAATTATGATTGGGCTTGAGTCACCAGTTCTTCATTTAGAGTGGTGATAGATAAGAGAATTTTGATCATCCAGAATGATGTGAAAGCAAAAGAGCACAGACAATGGAACAGACAAGTTTGAGAAGTGAACCAACCAATCATAACAGGAGTGCCCTGGGTTTCGAAATGTAAAGCTAGTTGACGACAGTAGCTTGGCATCTCAGCTCCACTTGACACGTTCAAAATTTTACAGGACACCTGTAACAGTCCTCGAGTATGTCATCGTTTCACAGACCAAATGTTATGGACAAAGAGGTTGCGCGATGAAAAGTTACAATCTGATAAAAGTTTGTCAACAAGCTAGGAGTCACCACACGGCAATGAACCATGATAGAAAAGATATGAACCACTTACCCCCAAGAGCTTATCCAGCACAAAACTGATCTCAATCGCACCTATCCACTCCTTTGAACCAACAAACGACGGCTCTTTGTCTTCAATGTCCACAAGAGTTTGTTGTATCTCTCTACATCGTTGTAAAGACAAGTGAGAGGCTAAAGATTGTACCCCATGTGACAGCACTCATCTAATAACTTCAGTGTAAAGACTAACACAGCCTCTTTAGTACGCTGCATTCTGGACCTACCGCAATATAGCAGACATCATATAGTGTACGAAAGTGAAAGTTTCATTGTGTGTAAATCGTGTGAAGCAAAACTGAAACTACAGAGACAGATGTGTCTTGATGATATTTTCCAATCTGAGCTCAGATGACTGGTCTACACCTAATTAATATGCTTGAGAACTTTCATGCGTATCAGAAACAGTAGATGCACCACAAACGAAAAGACTGTCTATGGACTAAATATAGTTCACATGGCTTGATAACCTTCAAGAACAAAAGATTGGAATATTGGCTGCCGTGAAAAACCCTAATGACTAAAAGACAAGAGACTCCGTATACGATTAATTCTCTATCGTGCTTTGTAAGCTAACCATAAGACAATACATAACATCTTTTCATAGAAGCCACAAATATGGTCAATATTCGGTATACTTCTTCCTGCCAATAAATAAGTGCGTCTTTCATGTAAAAGGTTGGGTGAACGTAGAGAATTACTCGTGAGATGGCACAGGAAGCGTAGTGTAGTGCTGAAGTCGAAACCAAGAGACGATTGTTTGAAGGGAACGATATGCGCATCCCCACCCCTGCAGCTCAAGACCATCAAAATGTCAAGAGATATGTAGAATGCTGCAAAATCTGTCTAGGTTGATCTTAAACAAAATCTTGAGCAATCTTGCTTATGAAAGTGATTACCACACTCACTAGTATTTTAGAATGTCTTTCTATGATGAATATTTGCAAAAGAAAAGGAGGGAACATACGTTATCATCTATTCGGTCTTGAAGATAATGGTAGTACTCATAAGACCCCTGAACCAAACTTTGGCGCCCTCCAGATACTGTGCATTTACACCGAACTAATCAAACAATTTCGTTTGTGACGACGAGGGACAATTCAAGGGTGCTGTCGTTTCAACTCTTTAAAAGGCAGCACCCTAATGCAAGTGTAAACTTTTCACTGGAAAAAAAGCTGGAATTATAGAAGGTATCTACATAGATATCGCTAGAAAATAATGACTATAAGAGACCAAAGTGATTTACTGAATCTACTTCAGCAAGACTACAATTTGGAACTGGAGAAATCGTAAGAACAAGGCAATCGAGGCAAGCATGTAGCAATTTCAGATTTTCAAACGCAGGAAACCTTACCACCCGAATTGATCAAACCAACGTGAACATCAGTCAGTCGCTTTGTACCTGTTGATCCATACAACAGCTTTGTTAAACTCTATGTCTTTCTTCATATCAGTAAATTATTAACTAAACTAAGAGCATTTTGGTACTGTAAAAGGAATATATATCAGATAAAGACCTTGACTGGTTTGACACAGCTAGAATGCAAAAAATACCTGACGTCCGGGAGGCAACTGCCTCAATATTTCTCAAGCAAACAGCATTTGCAGTTCGAAGCAATGGGCGATCCAATGTCAGGCCTAGTCTGCGATGTAGATTCTTTCTTTCTTCAACTGTTGAACACAAAACAAGTGAGTTTGTCATGGCACATTTCTTCTAAAAACAGCGAACAATACATGTAAAAATCCGTATATAACAAAACGGTAAAAAAAACGGAATCAACAACATTATATAAATACACCTGTGAATTTAACCTGGAATCTGAGCTTCCAGTTTAGAGAAAAATACAAAGAGAAATACAATTCCCATGACCCGGAGGATTTCTTCTTCCTTTATTCTTGAGATCAAATTCCAGCAAAAACCTCGAGTGAAGCTCCACAGTCTTTAGCATCACTTACCCAATGCCAATTCCGTTTCACCATGGCTAAGGTCATATATGGCTGTGACTGGATGCAGCCATCCTGGAGGACAAAATTGATAAGAGCATACCTACACCAAAATACCCAAGAGAAAAGTTCAAATTGTATTCAACAGGTTCCCCACGAGCTATGCGAACTCTACTACTCGATACAGCCATTACCGAGTCAGAAATCAAAAGAAAGATTATTATCGAAGACGGTTTCGTAAAAGACAGGTAGAACTATAATAGACAAAACATTTGGTTTTTCATATCATTATTAAATCTTAGTAGTTCAATCTTACTTATCATTCTTATATCTTAGACAATCCATCTGTGACGTTTCGTACAACTTTCTAAGAAGTACGAATCCAATTCAATGTAATAAAGCGAAAATTTGCTAAATGTAATCTTGCCAGCATTCGAACTAAAAGAACCTGATTAGTCAAGGAAAACAGCAGAAACAAGATTGGGAAAAATATAGTCTCCACAAAATAGGTTGGTCTAAAGTCCTTGTTGAGCAAAACAAGCAAGGTTAGGCACAACCTACGGAATGTGTGAAGTCTTACCTCTGCTTTGTGTGCCGTGTTCTTCATTGCAACTCTTTTCATGGCCGCAAGTTGGTCACGAAGTGCTGGCAAGATTAAATCTGTTGCAGCATCCACTAGCGGCATTTGACTGCCTCCCATGCACACAACAGCCATGCTTAACTTCAATATTTGGACAGTGGTTGCATTCTCCGCTGCTGCAGCTCACGACAATGCACATCAGCCTAATGAGGCTCACTACAGTTGCTATACATAGAACATATATTTTCTTTGGATTCAAAAAACTTGGCAGCCTTAAGTATGAATAAATATACTACTGGTCTAGTACTACTGAACACAATTCACAAAAATTATGTCCAGCTCAGTAGACACGAAGATAGATTCCAAAAGCATTGTTGATGCATGATAATAAACAGAACTGCACAATTAGCTACATGCCAGTCTCTGAGAGTTCTTATACACACCTGGTACAAACTGAACGACTGGGGCTGTGACTTTTCCATTAGCAATGCTGGACTGTTGTAACATTATCGTCAGCTCTACTGGCTCTGGTAGCTGCACAGAACGAACTATTAAAAGCATTAAACGTTCAGCCACCACGGATCGTTTTTCCCTGAGGACGTATCACTAGACTCAACAGGATAATCCTCACCAGTAACATTTGAAAAGTACAGATTATACTCTCAAGTCAATAGTACAAGAAAGAGAGCTTATTCGTTAGTACCAATTGATCAAATTTCATGAAATGACTATCAAAAGGGAACAAGATTAATGCGACTACATAACTCCTCCAACCATCTACAGCTCCGAATCTCATAAAATAATATTTTCTCAGTAACTACTTTATCTTACTCTTGGAGAAAGAATGACTTTTTTTCTGCAGTACACACCATCAAACCCAGAGCGTCTTGGTGTGTTTGCTATGCACCACGGTTTTGGTTACAATCCAGTTGCGAATCCATGAGGCAAAAAGACTTGTATAAAAATCGTTCACAGCTAGATAATTCGCTTTGTCTAAGAACGTTGTTGTGAAGGTTTACCTGAACGCCGGACGAAGTTGTGAAAAAAGATGGAGGTTGACTCAAGTCAGAACATAGGGAGCTTTGTTGTACGCCTTCTTTTCTCGTATCGCCACTAATTCCCTGGGCTGTCTCCCGCTGGACTTTCAACTGATTAAATGGTTGAATCAGCACCACGCCTTGCTTGAGAGCCTTAGCAGACGAACCTTTGGCCAATAACACTACCCTTGAGCTTTTTAAGTCTCCCATTATGTGTTCCACTGCATCTACAAGTTGTGCTGTGTAATCTGCACCAAACGTAATGATGAGCAGAGGTGGAGGAACGATGAAACGTGTATCAGGCTCAGAAGTCAGAGGAGATAGAATATGAATGAAAAATACAAATAGGTTAAAGCAAGTACACGCGCAGGTTAAGATGAAAGAAAGAATGCTTATAAAGAGCTCTGAACGGTATTTAGTCATTGGATACGAATCTCCAATCAATCCACATCTCTGCTTTAGTACACAACCGCTTAAAATTCGACAAAAAATTTGCTGCAAGAATAAGTCAGACAAACCTGATGCATTCGGTGTGGCGGATAAGTACAAGGGTACATTGAATTCCATTTGGCAATACAGCAGACTCAGGTTCCTCCATACAGTGGCATCAAAATCATTTGAATTTTGATTGATCTCCAGTAACTCTATATTGGGAGGCTCTCCCGGTTGATACAAGTGGTACTCCACATTTCCACTAGCATCAACTGAAATACCAGAAATAACGTCAACCGATTTTGCTGAAGCGGCAGATTGTCCCAACATACTTCTCATCTTGAGAGCATACTCTCCAGCTTTCTGTACACCTTCAGGACCACCATCATCGACGACAATTGCCCCCAAAATCTCCAGACCTCTCGGTACGATAAACTGTAATTCGTCTGACACATGCGACAATCAATCGCATGGGGGCTGAGATGCTTGCTAGATAATGCTTTCATCAAACGCATTACTTTCAAAAGACTGGCCTGAGAAGGTCGCAAACAAACCATCTAAGCAGTTGGCATTAACTACAGAAATAATCTACATTCGGCTAACGAATAGAACAAAAATCGAGAACCAACCTGCTTCACTCGACAAATCTGGTTCGCCGGTATCGCTCGCAAATTTCACACAACGGAGGGCAGAGAGAATTGTCAAAGGCAGGCTCGGAGAGCCCACCAACCACAGCAAACGATCGCCTTCTAAAAGACTCAGTGGGCACAAAATCCGTACCACTGGACCCATTGCACCTGCGGCTCCCCTTTCCTGCGTCCTCTCTTCTCGCGATCAGGTGCCTATGTAGTTGTACTCTTGTCAAATGGCCTCTCATACACAGACACCTTCGCCAATAAATGATCGCTTCTTTTCCAATTCACTCTCCCTGTAAGATCTTCTGTGAAGGTCAAGGTTCATGACCGAAAGCACATTACGGCTGTCGGAGAGGTCCAAATTTGAACACCGTCTACTCTCCAGCACAATTTCGGAAATGGATTGAACTGCACTGAGCTTCCCGACTCACATTCGTACAGCATTCACTCGAGAGCAGGTTATGCGATCACTGTAAGTCGGATGAGCAAATTGCTGTCAACGTCGGGAAAAGAGGCAAGCGGCCAGAAAAGCAGATTCCTGAGAGCTTAATCTTCATCCAGAAAGCAGAGTAACAAACCACCGACTCGACTCAGAGCAGAGCAGAGCAGTCCACTTCACAAAATGGAATAATTAAACACCCACTACTGTCATTAGCAAAGTCAGCAGCAGAAGCCCGACCGTGTCTGCCTTCCTGCATGCCTTGCTTCGGATCTACTGCTGTTGTGTTAAAGTCTCTGTTCTCTTCAATTTTTGACAATAATCCCCCAACGAATCATTGGACTTGTGCCACTTCAGACCATGCCAGGCCCAGTGACTAAGTGTTACATGGGCTGCTGGTTATTGACAACGTCTCGGAAGACAGGTCGGTAAATACATTCGATCCGAACGCTCATGAGTATCGATCATTTTTGCAAAATTGCTGCTATTTTCAGCAATTTTGCAAATCTATAAACATTTTCTAATGTGTTATCCCTGCTGTGAATCTCACAAGTATTTGGAGGTAGAGGTCAAGGTCAGCATTTCAATATCATCCATAATTGAGTTATTTGTTTCGTTGAATCTGAAGTCAACGTGGTATATATGAAGGATTAATGTGGCTAGCTATTAGCATAGAGTATTGAATTCCCTCTCTCTTTGAAATTCATTGCAAGCTCACAGCTTGGATTAATTTAGCACTTGTTCTCATCCTTATGTGTCCAATGAATATGAAGTTATTCGGTGGATTGTTCTTCAATAGATACCAAAGACTAAAACAACGCAAAGACAAAGAAATGACACTATCTAGTTATGCAATTTTATACTAGCATTTTCTTACTTATATTAGAGTTGTAATAAAGAGGGAAATCATTGAAACTATGATGTTACGCTAAAAAAGCACAAAGTATAATAGGAAAAAAGATCAGTCAATATAAAGATGATATCAAACGAGCAACAATTTGAAAAATAGGCGCTACTTCAGTTAAGGGAATCGAAAGTATCTACAGGAGAAAATAGAATCTAAAGCTTTATCCATAACAATAGTGATACTATTCATAGTTTTCTCTGATTGTATTTAATGTAAGTGTGTTTTCTTAATATCTATCAAATAAGATATCTTTGATAACATATCTTTGAACAACATGCACTCAAAATGATGAAATATGATAAGAAAAATAGTTTGTGCAAATTTGACAATAAAATAATTTATTTTGATTGTTTCAACTTTTACATCTTATCAAATCTGAAAATTTAATTTTCATCAAAATTCAATCATCAAATAAGGAATTGATGCAATTTAATTAAATTTATAAATATTTTGACAATTGATTCTATTTTATTTTTAATAATAAGTAAGCTTGAATGCACAACTTGATGATAAAGCTTCATGACATGGAATTAAATCAATATGAATTATGAATTATGATTTATGTTGATGAGATGAAATTTACATCTTGATGAAAAGTATAAAATGATGTTAACAATACATTAACTCAAATTAATATAGTATTAATAGATATAATTTTAATTATATCTTGAATTTTAAATCCAAATATGTTTAAATTGCATATAGATGTGTAAAATGCCAACGTGTTTGAAAATCATCATATTTCACATACCTATTTAAGACATCAATTTGAATTTTGCGGTAATATTGTTAAATGATAATATCAATCTATGTTATTAGAAATCCATCCATGCCATTTTATATCACAAATTTAGGAAATCTCTTTCCAAAATTAAAATATATATTTCTCTTGACCTTTGATACATACTGGAAAACATTTGTTTCATATTCAATATTTTTTATAATATTTCCGAAATTGAATCTGAGATAATACTTATCTTTTATGATCAATTTTCATTTTGTAAGATTTGAATTCATGTGTTGTGACTCTTTCTCTTTATTTTGTACGCAGGTATAACTAAGATGATATATGAAGAAACTTTTTTGCTCAAAATTCACATCTCTTAAATAGAGTTATGCATCAAATATATTCAAATTTAACAACTCAACATGAAAATGATATACATCACAAGTAATTTAGTTTTACAACTATCTTACAAATGAACGAATAATGAACAAATGAATATAGATCGAGATCTATATATACATTTTGGAAGATCATCATCATGAAAAAAATTCATTTTACACATTCGAAATATTATACAATACTTTTTAATTCTTAAGTTGAAAATTCTTGAAATACATGTATATCTTGAAAATACGCATGAGTCATCCAAAAAATATGAATTATTCACAATTATTGAGGTTTATTTGAAAAGAAGATTGAAAAGCTGAATATTAATTATTTTGTTTCTATATTTTAGAATTTAATGTAATTCTCTCAAATCTAAACAATGTAAAAAAAAGATGTCATAAATATCAATATGAAAATATATCACACGTTTTACTAAATACACCACACACCACATGATTTTGGATGTGTGTCGAGGGCGAAGACCTCACACTTGGAGAATATAATGTCAAGATCGAGTGAAAATTGATGATCTGTTAAGTGCACGTCTTCCATTTGATCCGTTGCGGAGATGAGCGGAAGATAGAGCGATAGTATGTGAGAGTAACGAGTGAGTGTGGGTGTGTACTTCTAAGTGAGAGATGACTTTCTTGCGCGCACTGTAGTATGGTCGTAGAGCGACCGTATCTGAGAGTAACGAGTGAGTGTGGGTGTGTACTTCTAAGTGAGAGATGATGATGTCGTGGTGTGGTCTGTGGTGCTCACTCGTGTGTGGTTTATTTAACAATTCACTCATAAATAGCTGCATTACTAATTGGGATAAGTTATTCATATTAGATTTAAGATCTACGTGTACGTTAACTTCACATTATTAATATACACTTTTGGTAACCAGCATGTTTCACTTGGTGTACACTTCCGCGTGCTTGGTGTAGTCCACTTTTCAGAAGTAACCCGGAGCTTCTGCAATTGGTACAAGTTATTCATATTAGATTTAAGATCTACATATACGTTAACTTCGCATTATTAGTACACACTTTTGGTAACCAGCATGTTTCACTTGGTGTACACTTCCGTGTGCTTGGTGTAGTCCACTTTTCAGAAGTAACCCGGAGCTTCTGCAACGTTCTCACATGCTATTCCGACACTTGACCCTCTGTTTGTGAGGTGGAGACCAAGGGGCCAACGATGTATTTTGTATTAGGGTGAAAATTGGTGGCAGCCATATGCTGACGTGAAATGCCCTCAGTCGATGAGTCGAGAAGTGACAGCCATGTTCATTGGTGCGACAAGGAGCTTCATGTAACGAATGGGAGAACAGTTGTTAACATAAGTGACTGTCTTTCATAGTATACCAGTAGCATGGCTCGCTTGAAAAGCATCTTACTGAAGGGAGTAAAGCCTCCCGCTCTCCCCAAATTTACATAAGGGAGCAACACCATTTATCTTGATACCGAAAAGTGACAAAATTCTCATTCTCCAGTAGTTTTGGATGCGTTGGTGAATCGGCAGACGTGCCATCCAAGATTCGTGTCTGTTGAGAGCTCTGTTGCCGCAGTACAGAAGAAAAAAGAAAGTTTGACCTACAAGACTAACTAACCACGTTACACCACCCAGGTCAAAACTCTTCCCGTCTACATCCTGTGTGCGACAGGCTTCTCGGGCAGGGCAAATACCCCTAGAGTACACGCTTTATGCTTTCTTCCAGTATCTTAAGCCCTCAAACAGGCCACAGGCCACAGGCCACGATAATAATGGAGGAGGACTTTCACCTTCTCATTCTCCAAGACACGATTACAGGTCCAGGACAAATATAGAATTGATAATACGATGAGAAAAGAGGCCAACTAATCGTCCATTCGTCCCGTGACTTTTGGTTTCCCCTCTTCATCTGGTTCTGGCCAACAAGAAAATCAAGAAGAATAGTTCAACATCAAGGCACATCGAATATACATGGGCATATATAATGTTTTCAGAAAAAGGAGACGGTGAAAATCGCTACTAAGATCAACGACATAACTTCACACTTTTAAAAACAAAGCTACGAAGACAAAGGTGGAACGAATATTTTGATTCTTACCTTCATCTTCAGGGGTTTTGACTATTTTCTTCTCACTTTTCTTCTCACTTTTCTTCTCATCCTGTAGGTATCTATTAGGCTTTGGCGTAAACCAGCTGTTTGCGGAAGCCCTGTTCCGTCTTGGTTCCGACACAATATTGGTATTGTCGATACCATCCAGGTCCTTCTTCTTCCTTAACTGTGCCTTGACTTTCCTGATATCTGCAGTCCGGAGTTGACATATACTTAAGAGTTTCTCCAAAAGTGATATAAAATGATGACCTTAGATATATCTACATGGTCCAACGTTGTCTGTTCTTCTTGATGTAAAGATGTGCACATCAAATTTCCAGGAACCTCTATGCTAATTTCTAATCCACAGGTCCGCACGCTGGGGAATACATTTTTTTTTTATAAAAGTTGGAGCCCTTCCTACATCATTCGAATCATGTCTTGAAAGAAAAAGTGAGTTTGGGGAGGGAGGAAAGACCTTGATACTTCATTGGAGAATTATCTTAAAGAGAGGAAAAAATATATCAGGATGAAGAGGGTATCCCATCTACTTCATCCTCTATTGAACAAGTAGCTCATAGAGAAAGGAGATAACAATGAGAAAAGGTAGTTCCGCCGAAGAAGAAAGGCATCAGAAGGAAAAACAGAAACAAAAACCGAGGGCTATGAGCCCTTCATTAAACAGATATGTCAGCAGAAGAAGTAATGATGGAGGCCTTGAACATTGAATCAACACGTACCTTGCTGAGAAGGATTGGGCGGGCAACCTACTTTCCCTAGAAGAGTTTCCAATTCCTTACACAGCACATCATCTCGCTCATCCTCAGGAGCCTGTTTCGCTTTCGCATAAGCAGATGGAGGAATCCTGCAATCATAAAAACTTCGTTTAGAAAACCTAAGGTTGTCAAGTGTAGCCCTAAACAACATATTAGCCTTCGTATCACGACAATCTGCATGCGCGCGGTCCTCAGATTCAAGTCTAAGACAACCAACTTAACAAACACAACAGATAACAGCCAGAGCAGAGAAGAGGCAACTTATTGGGATAGTGACCACCATTTATGACCATAGAGGACCGCACAGGCCCAACTCAACGATAGCACTCCGACTAGGAACGTCCAGTGCCATGGTCTGTTCTTGGTAAGCATCAACATGAGAATAAGTTCCAAGAGCTAAGAAGCGAACAGACTCTGTGCTTGCTGTGATGTCAGTAAACTCTTGGAACTGTAATTACTAGTATTTGGCTTTCACATTCTGCAGACCAAAGGATCCTCACCCTGCCTGGGCGGTCCAGGTAGATACCGGCTGAGATGAAAGTGCAGTAAGATGAGATGAAGAGGCAGGCGAAGATAGAAGTAAAACTTGATGATAACTTGTTCTTTGAATCTTGAATCAGAATTTCTCACACATAAAACGTTCGTTCTCCCAGGTTTGTCATTTCCACAAAGAGTGTCCTTCGACACTCGACCAAAGAAAGAGGAAATCCAAGAGGGTTTCAAATCAGCGATGATAGGTTCCGAATGTGAAAACTATGCCACCCGCAGAGCGAGGTTGTATTGTGATGTCGCTCTCATACATTCAAAACAAGCGTGCGAGATATATCCATTTTAAAAGAGACTGAAATTGTAAATGACGTAGAGTTTAAACATGACAACCGTACCCTAAATCGATTGTTTTGAAAATCGCCCTCAATCTCTCGACGTTCGGGCCAAAAGGCTTTTTAGATTCGGGAGCCTTTTTCACCTCGACAGTCTTCTTTTTCGCTGTGGAAGTCTTTTTCTTCGATACCTACGATGAAACGATGATGAAACGTCAATACGAAACTTTAGCAAGGTTTCCATCCAAAAACATCATGAATGTTCAACAGCTGTAACAGGGCGAAAAATGCCTTCAGCGACCATCATTCATTTCAGAACCGTGTATATCTCACACTCATCTCCAGTTACGTGCTGTCATGCAGTTAAGAAATCCAAGTAAATAAGGATATCTGTGCTACAGAATCCTCTTCACTGCAACTTCAGCAAGTATGAATCAAAGCTACTAAATTGCTTGAACTGCCAGAACCAACAAGAGACTTAACAAACCTTTGGTTGCTTGGCTTCTTCAGACTCACTGCCAGATGAACCTGCATCGCCCTTATCACCATGCTCACTAGAGTCTACACTAGGCGCCTTTCTCTTGCTCTTTCCCTTAACCCCTTTCTTGGGTTTGCCTTCTTGAACGAGATCATCTTTCTCATCAGCGGCTTTCATATTCTCAGCAGTTGTGCTTTCTAGGAGCTGAAACATGAAAAAAGATAGCCGTTTACATGAGCTTCGGGAGATGGTATGAAATACAAGCAAGAAATCTTAAGACAAAAAAAATTTGGAAACTTGTCTGGCAGAGATTTCACACGTTGAGGATCAAGAAAATATACAACTCAAATACACGATAGTAAGGTCACCAAATCAACCGAAAGCTCGCACTTTTATTCCCGGCCAAGGAAGGAAAGTCTAAGAACTAACATAGCCCACGCAAACTTGGAGCAAATTGCCGGGTTAGACGAGCTGCATTTTGGACATCTAAAAGTATCAAACTTGCTGGACTGAGATGTTTCACAGATGATGAGGACACAATTTACAATAAAGAAACCAACATGCGCTCATCAATATCTGCCTGCCACAGCACCGCTTGAGCGGTGCTTGTAGTAACAGATAGAGCCAAGTTGAATGAGACTGGACGGGGAGGACGGTGAACTATTTGAAGGTTGAGACGATAGGATTCCTTACGTAGGATTTCTCCCAATAAGTGAGGTGCTTCGGACCTTCTACACTTCAAGTATGACCTATTTTACTATCTCAGTTTCAGTTGGATGTAGATGAATCAAAACTTTGACAATAACTACCTCATCGACAAGATTTCGTATGAACGGTTTGAAAACATCAAGTTTATTTTGTTCCAAACCAAGATCATCTTCTAACAGGCGCCTCACGTGTGTAATCGTTAATGATCTGCACAGGAAACAAAACATGAATCGTCGCATCGAAGTATACATCAGATACACCACATACAGAACCTCTTTGAAAGATGGACTAATGACGGAAGATACGGTGTGGCTATGACATGAACCACAAGTACAATAAGACACCATGAAGGAAAAGAAACATGAAGAAAAATAAACAACGTAAGTGGCATACTCTGCTCGCGATTTTAGTTCAGCCGCTCGTTTCATGAGAGCTTCCTTTATAGAATTCTCATCAACATTCGGCTGAGATGGAGAGGAGTCCTTTTGTTTCTCCTCCACAGCTTCTAGCTTGGCTTTATTCTCTGGACTTTCACCCTCTTCACCTTCCTTCTTTGGTGCTTGAGAATCATCTAACTTCTTTGCAGCTTCGTCATCATTGGGGACTGCTTTCTCCTCGAGATCATTAACACCTTCCGAGATTTTTCTCTTCTTTTCAATGCTTTCAACATGGGCTTTGGCACTTTCTGGCTCTCCCTCATCATCCACTACTCGTGCGGTGTTCTTTCTCCTCTTCCTTGGCTTATCCATGACAACCTTCGCGTCTTCACCCTCGTTTAGAACCTGTGAACAAATGACAGTTTCTTGTAGAACTGCAGCCAAATGCGTGCCTGAAAGTAGATTGACAAGAAGACCTTCTTGTCATATTTCTAAAGCTGGAAGTTTTTTACATTAAGAATACCTAAGTTGAGCTTAGAAAAAGGGAAAAGCAGACTTACCAAGAAGGCCTGCATTTAATTTATCCTAGCACAGATAAACAGGCACACGGAGGTAGATTTGCCCAAGACGAGTTGAGTATCGTCGAGCGTCAATGAGATAATTGACTAAAGATTTGCATTAAAGTGAAAACTTTCAAGAACTGTTTGCGTAGGTCAGGTAGTTACAGTTGGCAAACCTGCTGATGGTGTGAGCTGATCGCTTCACAATGGAGCGTTTAACAACCAGCTTTCAAAGTCTACACGGTATGAAACCAACTAAGATACCCAAAAAAATCTAATAGACAAGTATACCAGGGATTTGAACCTCTATTTCTCCAGGTGCTGGCAGAAACAATAACAAGCCCCAAAGTGAAAAAAATTACCTTATCTACAAGCCTTTTAATAAGAGCTTTATGTACATCCAACTGGGAGGCTCTTAATCCCAGATCCCGTTCTAGAAGACGCCGTACGGCTGGTAAAGTCAAATGACTGTGAACCAAACAAGGATTCGGATATTAGCATCAAATGAGGATACCTGTAATGTTAGCACATTGCTCCAGAAAAATATTACATATGCCACATTCCCGCCTTCACTCTTTGTAAAATGCAGCTGAAAGACTCTCTCTTTTTATTACCACCACAACCAACTGAGCATAAAGAATGCTGGTGACTACCCCAATTTAGCGCTCTAATTTTTTGAGAAGCAGTGGACAACAGAAACTCTTGCTCGTTGAACTTCAGAAGTTTCGTTCATACAATTAAAGTGATGTGATCATCAACGAGAAGAAAATTTGACGTGTGCTCTCTTAAAACAAAATGATGATTTCTGATTAAGTTGAGTCACAACATTCTACATTAACACTAGAAAAAGTGAATGCAGCTATCTATACTCCTCTGAGTTCATTCTGATAGCATCAGCATAACCTGGTGCACAAAAGCATGATATGGTCAACACGTGCTTCAGGGTAAAAAGACTGAATGAGAAAAGTGCACACATATTACTGCAAACTTTGAGCTTACAAAACACATGCAGTATGGTCCAATGTAATAGAAAGGGGACCAATACCATGTGACTGAATATCTCTACCTGGGCCTGGATTTCAGGCTCAGAGCTTGATAGCTCAATCGCACTCAACGTGGACAACAATCTACTGAGAATGCTGGACACGATCTTGGCTTAAGTTTTTTACAAAAACATAGTCTACATTTTGTGATATACAACAGGGGTTACACAAGAAACCAATGTACTTACTCGGCTTGTCCCCTCAAATAATCAGATCGCAGTCGGACAGCCTCCGGTAGTGACTGTGTAACATCGGGGTCATCGTTCTCCTGAGCCATGGCACCAAGTGCCATGTAAAAGCTGCTACGTCTCCACTATACTATTTACGTCCTAAACGATCTGTTCGCAGCAAACGCCCTTCGTTTCATACTCCAACAGTCTACTGCTATTCTTTTTCCCGTTGAGTCAAGCTAACCCTCCCACACCAAAAAAATGTTTAGAAGAGACACGGCCCCAACCGCATCAACTTCAGGGTTATAGAGACTTGATTGCTTTTCCACGTCTCGACAACGTTTAGTAGTAGTACAAGCACTTCTGCACTCCTCTTCCTCAACACAAAGGCCAACTACTCGACCCTTCAGAACGAGCTTGATACTTCTAGGAATCACACCTACAGTGCTGAAAGCACGAACCTAAAACCCATAACCCCATTTCTGCCGTTGCTATTGATGCGCCACAGCCTCACAGAATTCAGCTGGGTCAATGTCAAACAGCTTCAGAAAATTCCAACCTCTAGGGATTCAGAACACCTGAAGACACCACACCTTACCGAACATTCTATTGTATATACCACAGCTATGGCCGCACGCTCTAAGCACTAGAGAAATTTCGGAACCTAAAATTTGGCCTCTTCGCCATTTGACCGGCAACTAAACCACAAAATTTGCTGTTCCGCCATAAATCTAACACTGATCACTCTACATCAACCTGTAGCCTGCCTGCTGCTAGCCCTTTCTGTTACCCCTCCCATTCCATTTACAGATATTATGCCATAGTATCGTACTGGATAACATTTCTCGAATTGGAGGAAATTTGCACCTAAGGTTTATGCATCCTGATTCGTGGCGGGATTTATGCTTCGTGTCTGATCAGTACATTTTGAGCACAGTATTTGGCGAATGGGCTTGGGATGCCCATAATTCTGAGAAACTATTTTGCCTGTGACCTAATAAAATGTCGGTCTTCACGAGAGATTGTAAAATCGAACCGAACCACCAAAATTAGGGCATGCTTCCTCTCGGGTAGCTACTGTTCTTGTCCTTGGCTGGGTGGAGTGCATGGTTCCACCTAATTCAAATTTATTTTACCCCCAGAAGTCTACATTGGTCACATTCAGACCATTATGGCACTTAAGTAGTACGTTTGGGCTACAATATTCATGTGATGTCCTCGCTCCTGCATTTGAATTTGCCAAATTCGTCCATCTCCTAAAGGCTTCGAAGGTGTGATTTGTAATGTATACTGAAACAGCCCTTTCTTGAAATTTACATGTCTTCTGTAATGTAGCGTTGTATGGACAGTGGTTAATCCAGTTTCCCTTGTTTGATTGGACTTTATCAGTTATGTGTATGCGTGTGTGTCCCTTGGCACCTTCAATCTGTCTCGAAAATTACCGTTCCTGAGACCTTTTATAAGAGTATTCGTACACTGAACACCAAAGATTTCACATGACCTCAATTTTGAATATGTATCTTCGAAATTCACACAACGTGATTATTTTAAAAATCAGACGGTGTTTGTAACTCAAATTTTTAATATCCACTACCCTATCGTCATCTTTGAGTATTGGTTTGTATTTTAACATATTTTCCTGAACCTATTCGATAATACATAAGATCTATAAGATAGACATGATCGTCTCTAGAATTTATGACAATCCCACCGCTATGATCCAAGCAGATAAATACAGAATACCCATGTTGTAATGTATATACATTTTGTAAAAAAAGATTGGTTCCAATGGAAAACATTTACTAAAATTCATTTCTCTAAATGTTGCAATTTAAGTAACCAATACATTTAACCGTTATATTCTTTTTCAAAATTTTAATATAGACATTGTTTTCCATCATGCAAGTAGTTATTCTGTTCGTATAGGAGGAAGAGTTGCAAACCACTATTGTATAAAGTAGATTGCAACTCCGTTCAGACAATTGCAACTAGGCGATTGATCGGTGACACTTTGGCTTGTATCATATCGTCTATAGCTTTTTCAGTGATATCGGTCGTGACACATTATGTGGGGTATATCTTGAGATAATAATCTTCAACTAATCGAGTTCTGGAGGATCTGCGACTTCCGGCTAGAGTTCAGAGTAGCAATTGTGTTCAAGTTTATTACAAGTGTGGATATAAAAACAAACATCAAAAGGTTGTTTGGAGTATGCTTGAATATCAAGATTATAATCAAATAATGACTTCTCTGTACTTCTGTTGTGACCATTATCATGTGTTCATTTTAAGATGATGGTTCATGGACATCTTGTTAATATTTGAAAGCAGTTTGATCTCTCACAAAAAAATTTGGATAATTTGAAATATCATAAACTTTGGTTAACAACATTTGTTGACTCAAGTAGCTGTATAAATACAGTACACATTTTTCTGGACTCTTGATCTCTTAGTTTTCGAAGGGTATCTGAAGATTATACTTTAAAAATACTCATGTTTTATGGACTTACTATTACTTTCTTTTGAAAGAGTGTATGAAGATGAGAAGATTCAGTTTGAAGTTCAAACAAGTTTTTGCATTTCAAGAAGAAAAAAAAGGGAGGATTCAAGAGCAAAAGTGGAAAAAATTTGCTAAGAGAGAATAATTTTTTCTCATTAGAACGTAAAAGTAGATAATGGAGTTATCATCTTCAATTATATCAAATTATATTTTATGATAATAATCAAATTCAAAATCAAGATATAAAGCTGATAAAGCTTGAAACTCTTTAAATTCAAATTTTGCTGATCTTCCTATGTTTTTTGATGTTTTCCAAAGCAAGGTTGATATTTTACATCTCAAGAAACTTGTAATAAGTAAGAAACTTGAAACTTGAATAAATTTGTATTACTGTATTTTACAAGTAAACAACTGAGTTGGCTAAAAAATTAACTGAATTGATGATGATGACTAAAATTGTTGAAATTTGAACACATATATTTATTACTTTATATTTGAATTTCCTTTCATGAAGTTCTGTGCATTCTTAGATCTTTCATTTTATAAGTTGATGTGTGATATGTAATCATGTTAAATATTCATTTTCTTATTAATGTTGCATAATACTAATTTTGTAGTCAGATCTTTTTAATGTTTAAATTATGATATTTTTTTATATGTATGATGATTAATGGAAATTTAATTTATAAATATATTATATTATATGTTTTCAAAAATTATCTTAATTGTATGAATTTAAACAGAAATCATATCAATCATTATATATCTTGTTTTTTATTTCAAAAGCTGTCAGAAGATGGATTGATGAGCTTTGCAAAAATCATGAAAATAAATATTCGTCATACAAATTTACAAATATTGATGTTATTATGATGTCAATAAAGAATTTGCTTGCATATTTATGATGTGAATTTGATTAGAAAAGGTTTTAAACTGTTGATATCATAGTTGAATTTTTTTTATGAAATCTACAAATTGAAGATTACAAATGTCATGGATAAAAAGTAGATATATTGCCATAAGTATGAATTTTGTGTATAAATCATTAACATCATGAAAATATTAGGTAATCAGACAATTACATTTCATACAAAAATCATGTAATAAATTTAGACGCCTGATTTAAGATATTGGATTTATTGATTTATTAATTAGAATGAAACGTGTGATTTAATTATGTTGATCAACATTTTGTATGTTTAGTTCAAAAAATTTGTGATCTTTAATGAACTATTCAAAAAATTTTCCACTCAAATATCTGAAACAGGAGATATAGTGAGGATGAAATGATACTATAAATCCTAACTTTAATATGAAATTATCATATATTTTTTTTCATATCGTTGCACTATAATCTTCATTATCTTTCAATTATGCATCAATAAAATTATATGTAAACACATATATGCTTTGTATCAATAATTACACTTTATTTCATTTTTGAATAAAAATTTAAACTATTGATATCTTTCACATGTTACATATATCATTATTGATAATAACGTGATATAAAATTAAAAAATATGGATTATTTATAATCTAATTATTATGAAATCAGATAGTGTATTAGCATACTTTAATTTGACTCTCTATTTATTTATTTTTTCATAAAAATAAATTTAAAAATATTATTTATTCTAAAATATTCTGGTTACCTCTTCAAAATCTTTGTAATCAATAAACATGTAAATATTAAAAACAATTCCAATATATCCATCATATAACATGACAAGTCTTCAAGATAGGAATTCAATGTGTATTGTTAAATACAGTAGGACAAGATAGATAAATCTATGAGTACTTTTCACATCTCTGTATGGTAATTTTTATCCAAACCCTTTGAAAATATATCTTGTTTGAAAAACTCAAACATGATTTTCAAGACATTCATTTTATCAAGATGAATATATACGTTTTCAAATATGAAATACTTCATGACTTTAATTTTAATATTGACAACTAAAATTTGAAAATTTATCTATCTTCAAATTATTTACGTTTTTTTTCAATCCCGTGATTGAATCGTATTCTAGAGTTTCATTAATCTTTCCCTGAGATTTAATATCTGCAGAAATATATACTTTTCAATCATTTTCTTTTTCTATGTTAGGATGAAGTAGCATAACATAACATAGTGTATGACATAAGCATTTTTCAGTTGTATAATGAATTTTAAAACATACATATTTTCTTGTATTGATTAACTCAAAGTTTGTAGTTGTTGTCAAGTAACTCCATTATATTCTCCAATATAATGGAGAATATAATGTACAAACTCCATTATATTGGACTATAACACAGTTACTCTGTACATGTTCGTGTCGGTCATAATGAACGATCGCAATTCCGTTGCATGCGATCTCGGATGGACGAAAGCAAAGCTTCAGAAACATCACAAACATCAATGGAAAGTTCTAACTGCAAATTTGTATTGCTCACTTCTGCGATGGTTGGCTTTCTGCTGATGCGTTCTTGCTTTCTGTCATCAAGCTGCCACATATGGTTAACGAGGACCCGGAATCTGTTAGCCATTTAAAGCAACGTGAATTCCGGCCTCACTTTCTGAGTCCATGAAAGTTGATCTGGCGATACAAAAGTAACAACACAATGATTTCGAATCTCTCTGTCAGTCCAGTTTGCTCTGTCATAATGTATTGATCGCAGTCTCACCAAATCTATGCTGATTGAACCTGGTATATCTGTCAAATGTCGGCTCTCAAGGATCTAGCAAGAAGCATCTCTGGCGTCAAGGATTTTGACTGTGATCAAAACCAGCACATAGTTTCACAATAGACTATTGTTCTGTGAATGATGACGGCTCTTCATCTGGTTTACTAGGCAGTTCTTAAGAACGTAGATTGTAAAAATCAATACACTTTTAAATCATAGAGGCAATCTCGGATGGACGAAACCAGAAGCAGAGGAGACCTACAATACATATATAGTGAGGCTCGCTGAACTACACGCAGACATGAACATCGACTGATATGACGACTGACCAAGTCATCATACGTTTTCACCTTCGGAGTTTCCGAGCTATGGAAGGTTCGACTCGAATATCATCGTACCTGATATTCGAACCTGATACCTGATATTCATTTTAACCTCACTTGATCACTAGACTGAATGGATGTGACTTGACATATTTGTAATTTTTTCCTGGAGCCAGATATACGAGTACAGTGTACCCCTCAGTAATATCTGCTCGTAGCATACCACCAGCTGAAAACTACGATGAACACGTTCGTCTTAAAAACTCGCGCTGCCATAACTTCGTAGCGTTTGCCAAGTCTAACTTTCTGAAGAGAGTAGACTGTGACTGTTACACTTCCAAATCGTCGTCTGCTCTCAGCCTAACGGGTGCGATTCCAGATGAATAATAGATGCAGTACTGTCCATTTTGGTGGAAACGTGGGAACCACTCATCTTCATGGTCCTCTCTGGTCTTCTTCAATATACGGTGCTCGTGATTGTCCCAGACGAGAAACGACCGAACTAGAAAGTCTTCTAGCTTTTACATGGCCGTACGGAGTGAGCCCGTCACGGGGCCAGCGGCGGTTTGTGATATGTCTGCACCCTGGTTTGGCTGATATCCCGCACGAAGAAAATTCGTGAAGCCAGAAAAGGCTAGAGTTTGATGCGCGTGCTTATCGTTCGATACATAAGCACTTGCAGCAAGAGAATGCATAGAGCATATAAGCGTATCCTCCCCGTTTGCTTGAAATGCATGGCTAATGTTGGCCAGAGTTTCACGTAACCACTAAACTGTCGCGCAAGCAATCACAAACATATAGAAACTCACATCTTCGTAACATTTGAAAAAATTATCGGGATCATCAGTTAGGGGATCAATTTGGAGCTACAGAGTAAGAGTGCTCAGAATTTCACAGAAATAAATGGTTTTTCAGGAGGGTGCAATTAAGTTCAGAGCAGGAACTCCACGATGCTTTAGCCGTTTTCCAGTTGGACGAGCTTGTGAGCCGGACGTCTTGACTGTTGAAAAAGGCATCGGAGCAAGCAAACGGATATGGGCCTTCCATGACCTTTCTTGTGCCCGACCCGTGCCTCATGCCTGAAACAACTCTAAATTTAACTCTTCGGACAACCGCATGGCATGGTCAATATTCAAACGAACACCATGGAAAGAACGGGAAAAGACAGACACAACCAAAATAGCAGGAAGCATGAATCCGAAAGGATATAGTAGCTGTGAACCACGTAACATCTTAACCAATGTTGTTTTTAGCCAGTATATCAAAACTACATAATCAAACCAAACTAAACCCAAAACCCTAAACCCTAAACCACCTTCATATTGCAATAGTAAGTCAGTGAGGAAAAATTCACTTTCGTTGTTTTTTTCCAATGGATTGCTTCAACTATTCCTCTTTGTACATTTATGTACATAAAAAGTCTAATGTAACTTGCAGGATATGCTAAAGAGACCTTGCGTTCATTTCACTAAGATAAGTTCTCACACACTCTCTCACATATCAAATACTAATTGAAGTTCATTTCTTCAACTTCATTTGAATCCACAGTTACATATAACGCTAAGCTAAAGTACCAAAGGTATGGCTTCTATGCACAACACTATACTTGAAAACCGTGGTGAGTACCATCTATTAACGTGAGATATTCACATTTATTTTCCATAAAAAATCATGTGCAACAACTATTTGAGAGATACAATGCATCAAAATTAGTACCGCATTATAAGATAGTAAGAGAGATACACCTAGATGGAGCAAGCAAAGAATGAAACTCAATCTTGAATCAAAAGAGCCAATAACCATAAACAAGATGTTAGTGACGATCAAGCCAAGATACATGGAGACTAGATTTTTCAATGGATATAGTACACCATTCTTTGGGAGTTGAATAAATCTTCATGAGAATATGCAGTCAACGTACAAAAAGAATGAGTTGGTTGCAATTCTCCTTACTCTTGTTATTCAGACAAACTTTTTGATAATTTTATTCATGTATAATGAGGAAAATCCAAAATACGTATAATACTTTATCTGTCAAACGTACCATTTGCTAAAGACTACTTGATTTTATACCACCTTCACTGTGTAGAGTTTTGCAAGTGCGACTTTCCCTTGAATAACCTGGCTTCATAGTCTAGATAACGTACTTTCGTTTATTAAAAAAAGTGCAAAACTAGCGTGAATAAGAAATCTCTCTTTAACTTTATTGGAAAATGTAATATAATCGAGTGTTTTCATTCTTCTATGACGAACATAAGACAACGGTGTATTTGAGAATAATCTCGATGATTAGTAAGTCTTTGGATGATACTCATGTTTCTGAACGTTTAACCGTTTCAACGTATAAGGTCAAAAGTTAACATATTTCCCATGGAGATGGTTTTGGGTATTTCCTCAGGGTACCTTTTGGTCTTATCCCTTTGGTTTCATCCATGTAAAATTCCATGGGTTCTTGCATGAGCTAATGTTGTCAAGATGATTACGCATATGAGACAAATCACAAGTAATTCTGCTGCGTTTAAGGCTTGGAATGTATAGTTCCGAAAGAGTAACGAACAACAGTCCAAACAGACGAACGCAAAAGTTTCTTGAATACTGCAGTTGACATTGGGATTCCACTAACAGAAACCAGAGAGTGCGCATGCCTCATGCGTGCTCTGCGGACATTTGCAAAATTAGATACTGCTCTTACGGTGCTTTTCGTCTCTCCACCCTTACCATCTTGTCTTCCAAACTAAAGGACAAAAAATACACCAACGGAAACCAAGAAAGATAGCGAAAGGACGGGAAGACGCATCACTAGACATGTGTCTTCTCGCGTATAGTCAACTCTCATAAATCCATCCCTCCGCTTTGGACATGCATATGACGAAGAAAGACAGCAGGATATGGTTTGTTCATCTAGTTCTCCTCATCCAGTTCTATTTCTACTCGAAGCTACAGTTACAACAGGGAAGGAATATATGCAAGGGATCAAATAAGCCTGACAGTTTTGATTTTCAATGTTGAATATCCTCTTCTGTCTCGTTGGCGCCTGGCTAGTAGACATATCAGGGGATTGGTAAAAAGGATGGAAATGCTTAAATATGCTGACAGCAAGACAGTAACAATGAGTGCAAACTATGATAATCGTTTGCGTTGTAACTTGGATATAGTCCTCGGATTGCACAGGCCATGGGATTTCTACAAATTTGCATTTTAAGAATTCGACTTTGAAAGCTAAACCTGCTACATGGTTGGTCTCTCCAGGGAAAGGTATGACATGTTGCATTTGTAGAGCTTTGATCCTTGTGTGAGATCCATCCATAAGAAAACTCTTCACCGCAATCCTTCGCATCGAGCATTCGCGTTCAAGATTTGCTAAACAAGTCAGTCTGTTGGCTGAGAACGTTTTCCAGAATGTTGTACTTTATTGGAGAACTTATCGGCAGACTATTCATGATACTCAAGCTGTTCTCCGTCTTGTTCGGCTGTGGGGTACCCAAGAGCAGTAAGAAGTTCTTACTGCTGTTGGGTACCCAACAGCCGAAGAAGACGGAGAACAGCTTGTAGTCTTCTTACTAAGAAGACTACGAGCGGTGCTTGTACCCCACAGCGGAAGAGGACGAGCAGCGTGCATGCCATAGTGATTGCTTGGCACTTGCAAAGTGCTTCTTTGTCTACGAAGAAAATATCCAAAAGAGACTCTGGCCCTGTCTCCACGAAACGCTGGCAAAGTGCGGGGTGATGGAGCAGAGCAGTAAATGCCTTTCATTTAAAGCCATGGATATCAATGATGATGTTCAGAGTCTGGATGCTCTTTCTGTCGTTCCAATTTTGACCCTGCATCCAGCGGTAAAAGGCCTACCACTACACTCGCCTTTCATGAGGACACTGAGGAGGCAGTGTCTGCTGCACATGCCGGCGAAATGAGGTTGACCACGTTTACCAGGCTAACGAACATGCTGCACGAATGAGGAGAGTTGAGGGCCCGTCCTTCATGCCCGTGCTCTGTGATCTAAGTGGACGAAAACTCGCTCAAGTGGTTCCACTGAACCAAACCAACGCAGTCCCATCAATCGTAGGTAGGGTGGGACCACCGTCTTGCAACAGGTCACTCTATGTCTGCGTCTCTACAGCTTTTCTACAACTTAGTGTGCGAACTGTGGTCAGCCGCGAATCGATGGTGGAGACAAGTCGGGGACATACGACATAAATCCATTTCATCCCTGGTCAAGTCCAACAGTTTCACCCTCATGGAATGAACAAATAACTGATGGGCTAAGGATGAGACCGAAGTCAGGAGTGAGGATCTTCTCGAGGAAGACCCTGTGTAAAACAGGGTCTTCCTCGAGAAGATCGCTGTTTTACACAGTTTGTTTGCATGTGGAAGAGTCTACAACATCGCTTCACTCTTTCACACATTAGTTGCTGGTAGGATGTACTGCTGGTAAGTTGTATGCGTTGTAGTATGAGGAGTCTTCAGATCGAAGTCGTCTGTCATAAGCTACGACAGCTGTAGAGAAGAATCGACCAAAATAAGTTGTTGAGAGTTTTTCTCAATCTGAAATGTTCGGTTTGAAAGTGCAGCATGATTCATTTTTTCTGTGACCAAAGTTTCGCTACAAATTTGTAATTTTCTGTTTAAGTTAATCTACATTACAGATTGTTCAGCATGTGGTGGTACATATTACAATTATCATGCATACGGTAATAGTTGTACAATTCCGGCTTCCGACTTACGGTCCGTAGTTACAGTTTTTCGCGATAGAAAGAAGTGCACATGTATGTTGCGATTGGTACAATCGATCACACCATTTTTTTCAGGTTTGTTTTTTCGAGATATTACGGGATTGTACTTCTCTTCGTTACAGCTTATCGAAGTTCTGAAGCTGTTTCCGTAGAGTATCTTTTCCCTCCGTAAATTGTGATGTAGCCATTTTATTTCACACCAAGTTTATCATAATGGACATGTTAGCATCTTTAAGTGAACATATCTTCTTGTGGTAAATGTAACATGAAAATATCCAATTTCCTAGTATGACAGTGCTGAAACACATATCATTCAGAGGAGATGTAACCTACATTCTCGCCTAGCGTTGATCGTGTGCACAGATAGATGCATGAATGCGCTTGGAAATTGAAAAAAATGCAAACGTTGCACACTTTCAAGCGCAAGACGCCTCAAAATTGAATGAGGCATCATGGCCAATAAGTGAAAAAAACCGACAAGCAATAGAAGTCAAATTTCATGAGAGCCTCACACGGGCATAACTATAACAGACAGTAGAAAGGGCAACACTCCGGACGTACTCAACATGGACACAGAAGAGAATAAAGCTTTATACCATCCTTGTATTGTTGACACAGGCAGGCTGGCTTCATTTCACACAAGTCGCCGTGAACCAGTGCGATTAGTATCCAAGGCACCACCTTTCCAGAGCCACGCCATACTTGGCATTCGCTGTTCTCGGCCTTGAAGTAAAGTAGCTGCCTGTTATCGACATGCGTCGTGTTTCACTACAATGCGCAGCACTCCTCAACTACCGACATTACACATTTCGTTTGTGGAGACTATCTTCTGAAAGAAACCCCGTAGGATCGCGAAGACCCGCGCCAATGGCAACATCACTTGGACACACTGATGGTCACCTTCATATTGTTCTTGCAATGATTTCCGATGCCGCAGATGAAGTAGTAAGTACCTGGCTTCAAAGACACCTTGTCGTTACCAGACGAGTAAGTCTTGATAGGCTTCCTGGAGCTGCAGCTGTCGTAATCGGCCTTGCTGACCTGAACGACATTGTGCTCACCGGCTCTGTATTTAAACACTGCAAGCGTAATTGGAAACACGTAAGGGCGTAAGTCAGCACGTCTCACTATGAGTCTACATCAAAGACAACACACAATGTGGGCATGACGGGAGTAACCCGTATCTAAGCCGTCAAACTCCACACAACAAGCCCATCGCGAGACAATGGTCCTCTGTCGCACACACGGGGAATGAGAACGAATACCACATCCTCACCAGTCAGGAGCTCAGCATCATGACATTCATGTGTAAGTCAAGAGAGAAAAACGACACACTTACCAGCGACGTCTTTTGATTTCAGCTTCAAGTTCGCGTACTTTTGGCCGTTCAGAATCCATCCGGAATTTCCTCCGACAGATATGCTAGCAGCCGAGATACACTCGACCAGAAGGATAGCACATAGGACCGTGGCGAGCACACGAACAGCATTGCCACTTCCCTGGCCAGAGCGAGACATTGAAGTCGACATCACTGGAAACACGCGAAGAGCTGGGGCACGCGACGGCTTAGAGAGCTGCAGCTGAGATAACAAAGACAAGTTCTTGGGAAGAGAAATGCACTCCGAAGTGCGTGTGAAGGAGATACACAAGGGGCGGATGACAATAAGTACTGCCCAAGCGTTAGGGGAGAAAGACGGCGCGCAGATAGATGGGCCCAGGTGGCCTAATGGAGGGATGCTGGAGCAGGCGTCTTAATTACTTAGTCGTCGCTGCGCTGAACACTCTGAACTCATGTGGCACCTTTAGACCGAAGAAAACTTACCGTAGATTACCCGGCGCCATGGTACGTGATCCAGGCGGAGAATACTCTCCGTATCTGCTACGACGTTGCAGATGGACAACGTCGAAGAGGTATTGTGTTATCTACTGTACAGTACGTGTGGCCACAGTTACTGCATGTTCATAACATTATTCGGCTCGAGTAAGTTCGCTCACCGAAGTTTGTGAAAGTTCATGAGCCCTCTGTGAGAGAACTACTGTCCTTTGTTGTATTGTACATCACCGTATAGGTCAACATGTCCTCAACTGTGGTCCAGAGTTGGACCATGGTCTGAGATTTATGCATCTACCTCCCTCGAAAAGCTGGCCTACTGTGAAAAGCTGGTCGATTGTTACTGCAAGCTAACCACCACCACTATCCACAGGCCCGACCGTGAAAGTATAATTGCCTAACCGGTTTGATCCTACCTGTCTCATATGCATTGGTTGAGGCTCGTGCAGCTCAGAAGCTGAGCCATTGCGACTGGACGTCGCTCCATACTTATGTGTGTCTCTGCTTTTTGAGCCACAGGAAGAAGAAGAAAAAGACAACGACATAGAATCAAGCATATAGAATACAGGAAGGGCATTAACCACCCGAACTACTGTATACTTTTACAAATTTTTTTTGGGGATAATTTTATAGAAGATATTGTATTGTGTGAAAAGGCGACTGTAAACCAAATCCACACGTATGACATAATGGTTGTACGGCTCCCCTTGGTAGAGTTGCACTTGACTGTCGACTTGGTTTCCATTTTGAGATTGTCTCTTTCTCCAAATTTCAATGTATGTATTCCAAGGCACAAAGTTCGAACACTTTTCGGAATAACTAGGATATTATTATATATATATTTTCGGAATAACTACCATATCGCAAGGAAGATTATCTTTATGCTTTTACTTCTTAAGGAATAACCGAAGTAGCCACAACAAGAAATCCAAAAAAAAAGTAAACATTTAATATCAAATTCTAGATAGATGAATTCAAAGGGATAAGATGAAACCAGTACCAATGTTATCCCAGTGAAAATTTATAAAATTCCACATGAAATATGCTAACTTCATAATTGAAATATTTTACAACCTACATCATTAACAATTAGACATACTAACAATCTGCTTCAAATATTTTACAACTTACGTGAATGAGCATGCTGAGATTCATCTCTTGAACCGACTTTTATTCATAAATTGTAATAATAATTATCCTTGTAAAATGACGATAAATTTTTACCTACAGGTTTTACAGGCCTTAAATTGTGTTTTTGAAAAGAGTGATACATCTTATCGCTCAATTTAAAATCTCTTGCATACTCTCTTACATATAACGAATTTGTTGAAATGGATTATTTTATATATGCTTCGAGCCTTTAGCTAATGTAGCTTCACTCGCCACCAATCAAAGTGTATGATAAACCAGCCAGAAAAGATGATGTATGTAAGTTGTAGTCACAACATCACTCTAGTCTTCTTGAACCAAGTATAAAGTCCAATCTAGAAGCCAAAAAATATAGGAGTTTTGGCATAATTGTATAGTTTGGAGCAACTTCTAGTTATAAATCAGTTTATGTTACTTATCACTCACCCTACAAAAATGAAGGGTCTCAAGCAATGACTTAGTTCTTTTGAAGTGCCAGGAACAGATTCTAGATGGAGTAGCTTGTACCTTGTAGCTTAGTTCCTCATTATTCTATTCTCCAATAACGTGTACATCAAAAGCACCGATTCGTCCATATGGAGAGCGTAAGTTTCCTTGAATGCTTCAGAAACGAGAGAAGACTTTGTTCGTGTGCGATGGAAAGAACTAACATGGAGCTCGAGCCGCTGGTTTTTCTAGTATGAGAGATAATAAGCACAAACAAAGAGATAACTAGCCGCTCCCTAGTTTAAATGTTTGATTCTCATTGAGTATGAATAGTTATACCTACTACAAAATACATCACCAACCAACATATTATGAATAATTTTCACAGAAACCAGAAAAACATCATATTCCTATGAACATTATGAGTAGCATGGAACTTTTTATGGACCAACAATTCACGAAAACATATAAATCCTTGTTAAGTTTCAAAATTCATCACATACTAATGAAATGAAAATATTGATTGACAATTTAAGCTTAGATGTAACTTAGTGCTCACAAAGAATAGTTTACATGAGTGGAAAAATACAAACACGTGATTGAATCAAGAGCACCAGCATGCAACATTGCTAGGCAACAGTAAAAACCTTTGCAATATAAATAATTATGGAATATATTTAGAAAAAATTAATGAATTGTTGGTCCATAAAGTACATCTCTTGTATAATCTTATAGTATAGTGATATAACAGATGTCATCAGAAATCATCAACATAATGTTGATAAACTATGTGTTTTCATTTCTTAAATCATAGGATGATAGACCTCAACATGTTCCAGCTAGTCGAAAATCTCTTCATCTTATGTTTTTCTTCATCACTCAACTTACAACTTCACATAAATTTTTTCATATAAAATAGTACAAGTGTCTCTACATAACTCAAATGTATATATAAAAAATTTTAATATAGATTTATATTATATACTGATATTTCATATATTTTTATCTCACATATTGCATGTAAATAGATCATTTAAATGCAATATGTGAGATAAAATACTCAAATAAGATGTATTATTTTAATTTTAAAAAATCTAATTGTGTGATTTCATCGTATCAATAAAGAAAAACGAACAAATTATTAGTGATTATTTAATTAAAAAGTTACATTAGACATTCAAACAAAATACAATAGTGAAAAATTCAATGTCTTTCATGAATATGAATATAATGAAAAAAAGATGAATAAAAAAAGACCCAAAAATAATCTGATGAGATATGAATATTGAAAAATGATTTTGATATTATTGAAATTTTTTATTAAAACATTTTTTTTAATCGTGTACAAAAAATTTATAAAAAAATTAAAGTACTTTTGATCTGATTACGTTGAATGCAAATTCAATCTAGTCCTTTGATAATTAAATTTTTGACTCAACAAATATTGGCGTGGCAATGTAAACTTATTTGAAAATTTATATTGTTAGGTGGAAATCAATTTTCATGACGTATGGAAGGTTTATTAAAAAACATTTCATAAGTTTTGGATGAATTACATCCATGTTGCATGAAGTGAAATACAATTAAAAAATATAGTTACTTTCTGATAAAATTGTATACTGTACACTGTATACTTACTTTGGATAAAATTACTATACTTATCATTTGAGGGAAAAAAAATGAAACAAGTTTGTATTTTATTTTGTAAAAAATATTTATAAAAGAATATAATTTTTATGCAACTTTCAACTCACAATTTCTATTCAAAGCTTTCTTAAAATTGATATTCATAGCTTAAATATAACCAATTACCAAATTGTTCTTGAAGAAGAAGCAAAATCTAAAATCCAAAAGTGCAACCAATTACTCGCTTGGGATGAACCTATTGATCATCAGCAAATTCATATTATCACTAATTTAAATGATATATTGTATTTTTTCATGATTTATAGAATTTAATGCTTTTTGACTTCATTTAATTAACTACGAAGTTGTAAATTCCATGGTAATTTACTGTTGTCAATTGTTCAAAGAAGATTTTAGTACAGTAAGGGGGTAGCGACGCCCTCTCACTATAGCATCTGCCCGGGACAAGATATTTCAATAGGCCTTCAAAATATTTGTTGGGAATATCTTGGAAGGTTATGTTGTTGCGGTGACAGTCTCCATTTAATGACATGATTTAAGACTGGATCACCAAGTTGGTTTTAGCAACTTATTCCACGCATTCAGATCCGGAAAAAGTGCCCACTCATCGCCTGAACAAATTCTTTGCCGTTGGAAGGACGTACACTGGCTTCTCGACCAGGACGTGAGAAAATCTTTTGATAACTTTCACCACCACGTATTGTGTGCTGAGCCGGAAGTGCAAGAATTGTAAAATCCAGGTTAATTTATATATAAAGGAATGTCGTCACACGTTTATGTGTATTAATGACTAACTACTTGCATAAATAAATAATACCTGTATCCATACGCTATTTTATCTACAATTATTAATTATTATTTTCTATAAAATTTTGTAAAAATTAAATGTGTTGGACATGTATTAAAGTGATTATATGTATCTTTAGTTTTTTTTAAATATATATTTTATTTCACAATTTCTTAAATCAATCAAATTTCTTATTTTTATTCCGAAAATTTCAAGTTCCAATTTTTTTAAGACTAAATTTTAAATTTGATTAAAACTTGAATCAAGATTTATAGTTCAATTTTTAAGATTTAAGAATTTTATTCTTATTTCAACGTTATACTGAGTAATAGCTACTGGTTTTCTTATTGACATAATTAAGTAAAATTAGTTTGATTTTTAATTAAGAAAATAATAAATCAAATCTATTCAAATATTTATGATTCAGATGTGACGCTCTAAAATAACAATATGAAATGTATTAATCTCTATATCAACTAGCAATAAAATGAAGTTGATAAGAAAATTATAAAAACATCTACTTCGCAATTTGTTGGTCAAATAATAATAATTTTGAATATTCATTTATAAAAATATGTATTTGAAAATTATATTTATGTTCGAGTTTTTGAAAAAATGCGAAAAATTTATGCAGAAAATAAAACAGTAACGCATATCAAACTTGAGGTGAAACAACATCTTTTGACACACAGGTTTGTTCAGAATGAAGCTAAAATGAAAAAAACATGATAATGGGCTTGTATAAAAACAATATATATTTTTGTTCATATTAAAACAAGTGAAGATTTGAATTTCCTTATAAATATTTTAATATTAATTTAAATATGGTAATGCACTTTGGAT